AACCCCAAAACCCCAAAACCCCAAAACCCCAAAACCCCACAAAGGGTGTATTCAAGATTTACTTCTAAATTGGTAAAATTATAATTAAAAATACATATATATTTATTTTAATGAATGAAGACTTGATGGTCGAGGACATTCATCTACCAATGCAAACTACTTCTACCTTGGGTCAGTACCCGAGAGCACAATACTAAAACAACAAAACGCCTTTGAGAGACAGACCTCCAAATGACATGAACCAGCAAGTGGTGAATATGAAGTTGATTTAGCCAGATAGATCTACTAATTAACTTCAGCAATAATAAAATCATTAAAATAACTTTCAAGAGGACTAGTTTTTTAACTCTCACAATGAAAAGTCTAGTGTCGCTAATAACATGCTCAGCTCCATGATAGTTGACTACGATCAGATTGTGTTAGAATCAAATGAGTTTGATGTAGAGATACTGAGGCAGCTGCCAGGCTATGTATAACGGAAATACCCCGATGCACTATTTATGGGTTAACTTATAAATGGTAAACGCTTTGGCAAAGGAGTGATGAGATATAAGAATGGGCGATAGTATGAGGGCGATTGGGAGAACGACCTCAGACATGGCAAGGGATTTGAAAGATATCCAAATGGAAACTCTTACTATGGTCATTTCAAGATGGGGAAAGCTCATGGCAAAGGTGTCTACTCTTGGAGTAATGGAGAGGTCTATGATGGAGAATGGGATTAGGGATTAAAACATGGATATGGGATATGGAGAGGACTCTACAATGATTCCTACATAGGTGAATGGAGATCATCCAAAGCAGAGGGGTATGGAGTGCATACATGGAAGAATGGAGACAGGTATGAAGGAGAGTGGAAATGCTGTCTCAAACACGGATAAGGAACAGACATATTCGCTAATGGTGATATTTATACCGGAGAATATAAGGAAGGCAAGCCTGAAGGGAAAGGTCAGTACACTTGGTCAAATGGTTCATTTTATATTGGAGAGTTCAGAAATGGACTCAAGCATGGAAAAGGTAGATGGAAGAGCGGCAAGGGACCTTAGTGCAATCAATACGAGGGAGACTATATCTCAGACAAGAAATAGGGCTATGGTGTATTTACCTGGGCAAGTGGCAATATTTATAAAGGAGAGTACAAGGAAGATGAGCGTGATGGTTATGGTGAGATGAAGTGGACTGATAGTAGCATCTATCAGGGTGAGTGGAACAAAGGAATCCAACATGGTTATGGTAAAATGATCTTCCCAAACGGTACAGTGAAAGAGGGCTACTTTGAATTCAATGTGTATAAGGGTCCAAAATAGAACCAATAGCAGGATGGCTCACCTTCTTAGAACAATGACAATATGAGATCAACAAGAGCAAGTAGCAACTTCTACCAGGGCCCCAATCCTTATAAAGGCCCAGCATAAACTTAGGAGCTAATAAACATTTAGCAAAATGTTCAGTTTCCTGATATTGTACAAGCTCAAATAGTCTAAAACATGTCGCCCTAGCTGACCAAAAACTAAGCGATATTGCCTAAGTCAATTCCTAAGATGAGAGGCTCGGTGAATTAGATGACCGCTGCCTAGTAATATTAAGGAGCTTCGAATGGCTTCAGTCAAGCAAGCTCCTTCTACAAGTACCAAAGAGACCAAATCAGCAGTAAAGACTCTGCTCGAGGTATCAGGAATGTATCCCAAGAGAAGCAATCGAATAGAGTATCAGGTCTGAATGACTCAATAAATGTGGGCAGGTAAATCATCCATCAGCAAATCAACTAGCAAAACAACAATAACAACCACTCGTAAAATAGAGAGATGATAATGAGAACCACAGTGAAAAGCAATAACAGTGGCAATAGTAATAAGTCCTGGATACAGTACAAAAACTCTCAAGTAGATGTGAACAACTACAACATGAATGAGTATGTTGGGCATTAGCAGATGAATTAGTACATGAACTAGCCTAATCGTGGGACAATCATAAATGCTAACAATAAAAAGCTGATCACCAATAATACATAGTAAAGGAAAAGAAAAGTAAGAGAATGATAGGTAGAAGAGTTTGACAAAGTTGATATAATAAAGTGATGAGCTATTTTAATATGTGCCTCGACTGTCATAATTTATGATAGATATGTATGTATATATAATGAAGTTGATAGAGTGTTCTATCTTTATTTATTAAAACAATCCTTTTAAAAAGATTTATCTAAAATTTAAATATGTATTTTATCAAAACGCTTATCAAGATTTATCCAGCTATAAAATGGCTCAATCTCTGGCAAGCATCTTGACCAACAATCTCTTGAGAGAGTTGAATACTGAGAATGTAATGGCCACATCGAGGATAACTCTGGCAAGTCTTGGGCCGACTCCTTTGTAGAATCCCATTGGCCCTTCGTGCTTCATGATGTAGGAGAAACAACCTAAGAAACCACCGTATTTATGAGCTTCCATGCCTTGAAGGTTGGTCTTTACGACGTCAACTGGATTGTTGAACATGGTTGAGCAGAAACCAGCGAAGGCTCCTGACAAGAAATCGCAGAGCACTTTATATGTTATGTAGTTTTGCAAGAACTTTTGAGTATCTTCGAATACCACAAATCTTACTCCCTGATTAGTTGATTACTTAAGCAAAGTAGCTAGATAACCTCTGTAAAGACCTGCAACACCCTAGGTCTACACGATTTTGTAGATACCGTGGAACAGATTCTTGTATTGAGGGTTTGCTGAGAGTTTGTCGTGGATAAGCTTGGTCTTAAGAGTCTCTTGAGGGGTGACGACAAATGTTGACTCGGCAGCTCCAGCACAAATACCGCAGAGGAAATTATTCAACTTAGTGGGCTCAGTGAATACATTGGACTTAACGTAGGCATAGGTTCCGAATCTAGTGTAGTTCTTTGGCACGGAGAACATAAGGAGAGCACTGTATCCTCTGTAGAATCCGAAAACACCCTTCTCTCTGAATGTCTACTTAACTGTAGCGACAGTACCTTGCTTGTTTAATTCAGGGTACAATTACATGACGGTTTTGGTGTATTCAGTTGGGAAGGTAATAGATATTTCAATGGCACCAGTAATACCACCTATAATATTGGTCAGTTATCGCGAAACATGAGAGTAGAGAGTTACCTATAAGAGCGTTTAGGAATGGTGAGATTTTCTTGTCTCCTGGTTAAGCACTATGAGGGGCCATAATTTATTTATTATTATATGATCAACGTTATTTTATCAAGGATATGACTTCAGCTTTTAGTAATATATATCGTAGACTATATTCTTATTAAAATTCTATTCTATCAAATTTAAATCATGCCTTTTCTATGCGGCCTTCAATTATTAAAATTAACTTTGGAATTTTCCCTCTAAACTACAATTCTTCAACAAAATGAACATCACTAGAGATCAGCAATATACTGAGTCAGAGCATGATAGAAGCTAGACTACTTTAGCCGAGTCATACTAAGAAGTTGAATAAATGATTGATTCCTAGGTAGACCCAGAACTTAAAGCATTAATGGAGCAGCTATATCAGCAGAGACAAATGCTGATGGATCTTTAAACTGAGTTAGATGAATAGGTTGATGTGCAACAAAATAACGCTTAAGCGTTTGAGCAACAACTAAATGACCACATAGAGGACGTTATTAAATAGCCATCAGTTGATGTGATCCAAAGTGTCAATGAAATGGTAGATTCATTTTAGCAAGAGTCAGTAGACATTGATAAGTTAATTGAGGAAGAGAGATAAAAGAGAGCCAAGATAGCAGAGGAAGTAGAGAAAGTGCAAAACGAGTTACTTGATATGTGCAATCAGGCAGAGATGACTTAGATTAAAGAAGATATTAAAAAAACTAGAGAGGAAAGAGACAATCTTAAGCAAGTGAGAGACTAATTAGTTGTGGATTTGAAAAAATAGCAGTTGCTTTCACCGCATGATAGTTATATCACAGAGCAAGATGATGAAGATGACAGTGAAAGTATACAATCTAATGTAAAATAATGAAATAGAGCCGAGTAATTCCACATGGTCAGAGCAGGAGTCACTAAGCAGTATTTGTATTAGTTTTGAGTATTTGAATTTGAAATAATTGATACAATACGCATTATGGGGTTTTGGGGTTTTGGGG